GAAACTTATTTTGAATACAAATTTACTGAATATAATTTATAAATGTTGATGGAAAGCATCGCAGGCGGGGACCACCTTGACCGCCACCAACGAAAATTCTGCTAAATGGTGCACAACCGAAATGACTATAAATAAGCCTCTGTTGGTCCCCGCCTGCGATGCATTCCATCAACATTTATAAATTATATTCAGTAAATTTGTATTCAAAATAAGTTTCTGTTTATTTAACTATCGATTACGAACACATATTGTAGTGTATTTTAATATAGGTATTGTTTAAACGGTATTACATAATTAGTTTTTAGCATTTGATTGATCAATATTATTGTGGGGCTTGTTTTACTCTTTTTTTAGTGTGCAGTCGGGTATTTTGTTTTTTTAATAATAATTTTTTTATTTATAACTTTTTAGCTGTTTTTATTTCGATATATACAAATAGGGATATATCGAATAAAATCGCTATTTAGAGACGACCGTCAACGACGTGTGCCCTCATGCGTGTGCCCGCAATCGGGCTGTATACTCGAGCATATCCCCCTCCGCACCGCGCCGCGCGCCGCATGCCAGGCCACGCCCTATCTTTTTGCTTGCTAACGCATGAGTTGCTTTGCGTTGACGCAGAATTAACATGTTCCCGTGGGAATTTTGAGAAAAAACGTATCCTATATTAATTACTCCCGTGATTGAAATGAATCTAATGATACCGCATACATATTTTTTTAAAGGGAAATTTAGAAAAAATATTATTATGTCTTTATCCCGTGGGACTTTTAGGATAAAATGTATCCTATGACACTCCCGTAATCAAGACAAATCTAACGATACCTCATACATCAAAATCCATCAAGCCGTTTAGGCTACAGGTGGTCACAAAGGAAAAGACATACATACATACTTACATACACTCGAAAAACATTACCCTCCTTCTTTGGCAGTCGGGTAAAAACTTTAGAAAATACACTGCATTGCGGCTAAATCTATACAAATATTATAAAGAGGAAAGATTTGTACCTATTTTTGTATGTTTGTCATGAATAGGCTCAAAAAGTATTGGGCCGATTTAAACAATTGTTTCACCAATAGAATGCTACATTCTTCCAATAGCCTACATTTCATTTTGAAAAAATTTAGGGATCTTTGGTAAAATTTGAACAATGTAACCGAAGGTGTAGAAAAATGAGTCTTAAAATGTCTTTCGTCGAATGCGCTGCCGAAACTATTAGCGATAGGACAAAATAATGTACAACAATATTGAAGAACATCATAATGTCTACAAAAAACTCCGCGGTAGCATATGTCCAACTATTGTAGTGTCACTACAAGAATCCAAATTTCCAAAAATAAATAATTGTCTACCCCGTGCGAAGCCGGGACGGGCTGCTAGTACAATATATTATTATGAAGACGCAATATCCATCAATAATAATTACAATTGCTTACAGTATTCTGCGTACATCGTCATCAATATTATTAACATTTATTTGACTATGGGCATCGTCTACAAGAGATGGTTTGCCTAATTAAATAATCTCGTAACTTGGCAAGGGTTAGAGATTACAGTTTAATAAGGTCACGTTCATGTCGTGGTGGCTCGGAGGTTCAAGACGCCCGCTTCTCATGCGTGAGGGTGCAGGTTTCAATCCTACCAACGGCAAGTACCAATGTGACCTTTACCGAGTTATATGTACATACTTTTTAAGATTATCTAGACACCACTTACAAACGATGAAGGAAAATATCGTGTGGAAACCTGGGCTTATAATTTCTAATTATAGATAAGTTTGTAATCAATAAGACATGTGGCAGAGTCTGTTAGAAATTGTTTCTATCGCATGAAGGTCTTATACAGAATGCGACCGTACCTGTCAGTGGCATTACGGGAGCGGCTGATAGAGACCTTAGTTCTTTCTAGGTTAAACTACGTAGACACGGTGTATGGTCCACGCCTGTTAGCACGTACAGATCGGCTCATTCAAAGGGTCCAAAATGCTTGCGCTCGTTTCTGTTACAACATTCCTTGCAGAACCCATGTAACACCATATCTGAACGAACATTTCATATTAAAAATGAAATCCAGACGCAAGCTGCATCTGGCCTGCCTTTTATTTGGTGTAGTTAAATACCAGAAACCGGACTACTTATTCCAAAAATTAAAATGGCTTACGGGCCGGCGGGAATGTGAAAGAAGGCAATGTTCACAGCAACTTACGACCAAGTCATATGGTACAGCCGCTTTCAGGGGCAGCTTTCGCTATGCGGCTTCCAAAGTGTGGAATAACCTCCCACCACCTATTAGAGGAACAAATTCAATGGGTGCATTTAGAAGACGCTTGCGACAATACCTCATCGATACACAGCGAAGGCTTGATATGGTGGTGCAAAATACCTCAATTATATAAGTAATGTACCCGTGCATTCTGTTCATACACACGCAATATAATTTTTATCATATTTAATAAATCTTTTTTGGCTAATTACTATACCCTATTATTATATGTATGTATGTATTATGGTATAACTATATTAATTACTTAATAATTTTATAATACACTTCACACGCTACTCTGCATTTACTGCTTACGTCCGTTGCGTCACAGCCACAGGTTCAGTTGAAAACCAGCGTCAGGCACTAGATGTCTGGCATTTATGCTGAACTGGACCTTTTTTGGTGCAGCTGTCAGGCACATGATTATTGTTGGTATATTTAACTTTTTAAATTTTGTATATACCTACCTACATCTGTTTATGTTCTTTTTTTAATTTTTCTATTTCACTCCTAATTTTTTGTTTGCATTGTATTTATTGTATTGTGTTTGTGCCTGGTGTTGTACCAAATAAATTATTTTTCTTTCTTTCTTTCTTTC